ATAGAAATAGAGTTACTAGTATTGACTTAAGGGGAAGTAGGATATATTAAAATAATAATAGATTAGTTATATGTATAACTGAGTTAATTATATTGAAATAATTTGAATTGTATAAATATGATTTTGTTTTGATTAATTGATGGCCTTGCCACCATGTAAAATAAAACCAATAAAAATTTTGTTGAAAAAAAAAAAAAATCACCAGAAGCCAAGCTTAATTTCAACCTAGCCTTTAGCACGACACTAGAAAACCAGAGCACTTCAGAGCTATTTCCTTACCTAAACAGAGAAACAGAATGACGCTGTTTGGGCAAAAAAGCAGTGGGAATGGAAGCAACTTCTGACTTCCTGCCAGCTTCCCCACTGAGTTTCCTTACGGGAAGCTGGCAGGAAGCATCAGAAGTCCTCCCTCCTTCCCTCCCTCCCTCACACCGTCCCTCATTTTCTACTGGCTTGTGGGCTTCTCTTCCTTTGCTTGTGGGAAGCTTGCAAGGAGAAAGTCAGTGGGGAAGTCAGCAATTCCAAGGCCAGCAGGCAGATAAGTGGCTGCTGCCAGATGGGGAAGGGACCATTGGGGTGCACAGAGTCAGGAATGGTATATGGGGTACATGAAAGGTCCATGTGGGCTGGAAAGGGTGCATGGGTATGCACCAGATATGTCACATACTGGGAGCCTGTATCATTGCAAATTTGAAATAGTTTCAATGTCAAAAATTACCTGAAGACAAGGTAACATAGGAAAAAATAATTTGCATTTCTTTTATTTTTTTTTCTTTGCCATCTTATTACGTATTATTGGCACTAAGTTGCAGAATGCCCAGTGTGCACCTTTTCCTAGAGGGTTTAAATTATTTAGGAGCATTTTTTCTGTGCCTGAAGATAATTAACTCTTCAGACATTACAGTGTTAACATGAATAAAGGCTTTGTGATATGGTATGAGAAAAGGTTTTAATTTTAATGAGTTTAATGAGGATTACATCTGGATTGTTGCAATTGGAAGCTTTGAATGTTTAGATCTAAAAATGATAACTCATGGATGATTTTCTGTTCCAATTTAAATGACATTTTAAATTCTACTACTGTGTTTTATTTTAATGCCCCAAGAAGCCTTGATTATTGCAATGTACTGAGCTAAATAAATAAGCATTCCTCATCTTATGGATTTTTTTAGAAATACATTATTAGTGGTATCATATAGAATTAATATTGGGAAATACATAAAAAGATGTTGTTGATCTTTTGGCTGAGGACTTACTTCAAGGAATGTTTCTATGGAAAGTGCAAAAGTATTTTCACAAAGCAAAAGATTTTCTTTTCCAGTGATGCTATTTCAGCTTTGGAATATCTTTCTCAAAGAGATGTGCATTGTACCAACCTTCAGCACCTTTAAAAACATTTTTAATTAGCCATATATTTTAATTTAAATAATTACTCCATCTCCCTTGTACTTTGTCTGTAAGAGTATATATTGCACGTGCGTGCCTGCTATTTTTTCATTATGTTTGCTCAAAATTTGGGAGAAAGCCAGTGGAGTCTATCCAGCAACAAATACCATCCAAGAAACAAATTCCACATTTACCCTGCAGTCCCAAATCTTTGCGGAGCTGAAAAAATTCCTGGGGGAATTTGTGAGGCTGTAGGGACAGGGAGAAAAAAAAGCAAACATCCTTTTGTTATTCAGTCCATTCCTGTACTTTGAGATGTTGCTCTCCCATTTTTCGGCAATATGTTCCATTTCAAGTAGTTCACAGTCTACATTGGGATGTCTAACCTAGGCAACTTTAAAACCTGTGAGTTTCAACTCCCAAAGTTCATGCTGGCTGGGGAATTCTGGGAGTTGAAGTCCACAGGTCTTAAAGTTGCCAAGGTCAGACATCCCTGGTCTACATTATTGTACAATTCTCACTCGAGGAAATGTGGTACAGGGATTTAATTATTAATATAAGCACCCCTTGCTTTCAGTTCAGTATGTTATCATCAACACCTAAAAATGGAAAAGAACTGTTTCAGGGAAAGTACTTGTTTCCATTTAGAAACTCCCACCTTACCAAGTGGGCAGCACAGTGGCTCAGCAGTTAAGATGTTGGCCTTGTTGGCTGGAAAGCCAGCAGCCCAGATTCGAGACCCAAGTGCCTCATGACAGGTTGAACTCCCGTCCTCGCCTCAGCTCCTGCCAACCTAGCAGTTCAAAAACATGCAAATGTGAGTAGATAAATAGGTATCCCTTTGGTGGGCAGGTAACAGTGCTCCGTGATGTCATGCTGGCCACATGACTGTGGAAATGTCTTTGGACAACATTGGCTCAATGACCTTGAAATAGAGATTAGCATCGTATCCTGTAGACAGCAACGATTAACGGAGTAAAATCCACAAGGACTCCTTTACCTTTACCTTGCCAAGTAGGACTGAGAAAGATCCTTGTCAGGAAATATGGAGACACAAATCAATCAGGACTGAGCTGAATGGTTGAAGGATCTTCTAACACAGGGGTTCCCAACCAGGGGTGCTCGCACCCCCCGGGGTGCAAGACTATATTCCAAGGGGTGCAAAAACTTGGGTTTTCAAAATTATAGTGTATGTGCATAATTCGTTGCTGTTATTTCAAACTTTTGTAAGAGGTGCAAGAATATACCAGAAGTGTTCTAGGATTGCGGGGTATAGAAAAGGTTGGGAACCACTATTCTAACACAAGGACTGCACTGATCTGCCTAGCATATGGCACTCAATGCTTGGGTCCTAGGAATGTGAGACAATTAACAACCAGTTCAGCTCCTGTTCAAAGCAAAATATTGTGAAAGCAATTTTGTAATGTGTTTGATGGAGGTCCAGCACAGGGAATAGTGGTGGTCATGATGATGATATTGATAACAATAACAACAACCAAAATATTATTCCAGATATTAAGGATTGGATTTAGGAGATGTGTAATCCATGCCTCTAGGATGCAATATGTTACCTATTGGTACAGCTTTCATAATATTTTACAACAATAGGCTACAGGTAGTCCTTGACTCACAACCATTTGTTTAGTGACTGTTCAAAGAGGAGCACTAAAAAGTGGCTTGTGGTCGTTTTTCACATGACCATTGCAGCATCCTCATGATCATGTGATAAAAATTCAGACGCTTGGCAACTGGTTCATATTTATGGCGGTTGCAGTGTCCCAGAGGTCATGAGATCACCTTTTGCAACCTTTTGACAAACAAAGTCAATGGGGAAGCCAGATTCACTTAACAACTGTGTTATTAACAACTGCAGTGATTCACTTAACAATTATGGCAAGAAAGATGATAAAATGGGGCAAAACTCACTTAACAGCTTTCTCACTTAGCAACAGAAATTTTGGGCTCGGTTCTGGGTCGTAATTGACTACTATCTGTCCTCCCCAGTCATGAAGGACTGTTTTATCGGTCCACCTCAATGGCCAATTAGATTCTCATTTTTTCCTTCGATGCCAAAACACGGTAGGGGAATAAGAAGCCTGGGGTCTGCTCAATGACTGATGGCTATTTTTTTTTTTTGCTCTTTTATGTTGGTAGCTCTGAAAAGAGTGCTGGGTGGGAGAATGTATGAGCACCAGGGACACCGCTGAGGTGGGAGAAACCTGCTTCCAAAATTTGAAAGGGGAGGCTAATGGTGGTGCAGAAATGCTCTCAGTTCCTTTGATGGGCAACTTATCTCAGTGGTGCTGAAGATAAGGTCATAGAGTGTAATTTCTAAGTGCTTTGGGCTCTTGAGGGCCAAGGAGACAGCAGAGGGGGGGAAGAACTATGCCAAGTTACAGGGGAATCTTTGTTTCTAACTTTAGGCCCTTCTTCAGTTATCAGCAATGACGACGATTCGGCAAGTCCTCTTCATCACATCTCTAATGGAAGCAACACACCATCTTCTTCTGAGGGAGGCCCAGATGCAGTAATTATTGGAATGACAAAGATTCCTGTAATTGAAAATCCTCAATATTTTGGAATTACAAACAGTCAACTCAAACCTGACACATGTAAGTACATACTTACATATATTTATATTTATGTATGTCTATAGATAATTAGATGTCTCCCCAAGTGCATGTAACTTATGATTAATTTTCCCCCTTTCTGATATTGATTATGAATGCTAAGTAACAGCCTATCCATATAACCATAAACATGTTTCTTCCTATTACAACCTATGGGGCTTAATAAAGTTTATTTTATCAGGTGTGGTTAAGGTTGCCCCATTGTTAACATTTTCAAATGAAATAAATCCAATATATGAATTCTAATTATCTTTTATTTCTTTGGCCAGATGCTTAACAAACATTGACCTTTAAAGTTTAAAATGTGGTTTTTTTGGAATGAATATAATTACAAATTCAGCAGGTGAAGTAAGTTTTAGTGATTGTTAAATCTGTTGAACAGTGAAGGTCAAATGGTGATCAAACTGTGATACACATTTCAGGTGAAATCAGAGATATTTGAGCAGACAAAAAGGATAGTTGACTCCATAGACTTTGAGGTAAAACCAATAGCAGACATATACACATTTCTATCACCTATTCCCTTTGGGGATAAGCAACATTATTTAAAGTATAGAAAGTGAATAAGAAATTTTGAGCCAAAGAAAGGCACAATAATGGCATGAGAAAATAAATAAAACATTACTAGTTTACATCAATAACACTCTCAGTGCATTAATATCTTCCTTCCTAGACAATCATATTTACTTCCACCACATCCATGCACCGAATTGGACATTGCTTTTTTGTTCTCCAAAATTCTTACCTTTCTCCCTTTTTGAGGATTTTATCAGTTGCATCTGACAGAGAGTCTTCCTCTTTCCACTTTGCTTTCCCTCTAACTTCTCCTTCCTAGTATCTATTTGTTTTGTGTTCATATATTCTCTCCATAGCCTATAATATCTTTTGCAACAACAATTTGTTTTTGTATTCAATGCACACTCATTCATATTCATTAATTTCTACCCCTGCCCCTTCTTTAGCACCCACTTTCTTTAGGCTGCCATGACCACCGTCTCTACCTTATTCCTATGTTATTCCTAACATAAAAGTAGTCCTCAACTTACAACCGTTCATTTAGTGACCATTCAAAGTTATACCGGCATTGAAAAAAGTGACATGATCATTTTTTACACTTAACGACAGCTATAGCATCCCCATGGCCACGTGATCAAAATTCAGATACTTGGCAACTGGTTCATGTTTATGATGGCTTGGTGTCGCAGAGTCATGTGATCAACTTTTTGCGATCTTCTGACAAGCAAACTCAACGATGAAGCCAGATTCACTGAACTAACTAACTTAACAATGATTCATTTAATAACTGTGGCAAGAAAGGTAAATTGTGACTGTAAGTTGAGGACTAGCAGTACTTACTATCACTTCCATATAACTGAATGGGCAAAACCACTTTCATATAATTAATTTAACTTCTTTTGACATACGTTCTTCCTTTATAATACACCGCTTACTATCTTTCTTCCAGCATTTACACATCTTTTAAAAAATTCCATCTTATCTTTAATGAACATTCTACTTGCTCAGGGTTTTTTTTTTTTAGCTATTCATCTTTAACAATTCTTCACTCCATATTCTCTGTGGAAAACAGCCACCATGATTTCAGACTTAAGCATTTTCAGATCCATCCTACAGTCTAATGTTGAAAATATCAATCAACAACACTGTATCATGTTGCATACATAAGTACTCAAATATTCCCATCCCCAATGAGCACATTTCTACCATCACTGCAAGCATTTCTTTAGCCACAGACATATTTGAAATACATTTAAACAACCATGGGAACATCATATATCCTTGTCTTAAGCCTTACTCAGTGCAGCACGTTTGCTAGGCGTCCTGTTTATTCTCATATATCTTTTACTTCCATCATATAAGGCCCTTAATGCATTCGAGAACTAACCTTCAACTCCACATTTGCATAAAACATTCCGTAATTTAAGCCTACTCACTTTATCACACGTATTCTATAAATCAACAAATGTACAAGGCTTGTCACAGCTATACAATTCACAGAAAAATCAATTCAGCATGAAGTGAAGTACATTTCCCAGATTTTGCTCATGGCCACCTGTATGGACAGAATTCTGCCAGACACATTTACAGGCACACTTGGCAGGTTAACAAACTAATTTCCCCTGTAGTTCTGGCATCTACACATGTTACCCTACGTTTTGTATGGGGGATGAGTTACAGCTTCTTCCAGTTGTCAAGCACAGGGGCTACCTTTGTGCACACTTGAAACAAGTTGTACTGCCATTCTGTAAGCAAATCACATCCGTATTTTAATGGTTTCCATCTTCACTTGCAGCCTTATCATTTTTCAACATTTTTCACAGCATTTCTGCTTAGTTTTTATCCACTTTTTTGGGGGGGGGCACAAGCATTTGCAGGATTCAGAGGAATGTCATACCACTATCGTTCCCATGCATTCTATCTCTTCGAGTTCATTCCAAATCTTTTTTTCATTTGGTTTTTCCTTCAATTAACCTTTCTGGCAGGTCCCAGTTGTGTCCCATCCAGTTCCTCACAGCTTCTAGAAACCAGATAATGACCTCTCCCAGTGGAAAATCCATGCAGAATTTAAATAGCATCGGGAGACCACTCAAGGAGTTAAGGGCTGAACTGCTACTCCTTAATAAATAATGGCTAAAACTTTCCAGTCAGTAAGGAGCAAAAAGAGTGTCTCCCATCCCATCCTTTACCAGGACAGCAGCATGGCCAATGGTTCTGAACACAGCCAAGAAGTGTAATAGAATCAGGAAGATTATTTTTGACCACCCAGATCCTTAATAAAGATACATACCAAAACAACTAGTGCTGTTTCCGCCTATGTTCAGATCTGAACCCTAACTGAAAAGGCATGTTCTTCACATAATTGGATCATAGATCATTATCTGTGATCCATCACACTTTGGTTGCCCAAGATTTTCAAATATTAATAAAGGATAGATTATAGCCTTGGTTATGCTCATCGTATTTACATCATTTCCTGATAACAGTATGAGCAATGTTGATATGTTTTGCCAATTTGGGGCAATAGGCCAGAAGTGTAACCGAAGCCCACTTCCACCCCAAGTTGCTCACACTTGTTTATGCACACTGAATCTCCAATCTAAACACTAACCTGGATTTTACTGACATTCCACTAAAATGGAACCATATGCAGCATACCGATGCACGCTCAGGCAATCTCTAGTAAACTTTTAATTTATTTCAGTGATATAAATTTACAACTTCATAAAATAAAAATGAAACATTTATTGAACTGTATATCTCCACATGCTGGTAGAGATATTACAGATGTGCTTATAATTCCAAGAGAAATTGAATCAGTAGCATCTGCAGCTCAAAACAGGCAAGATGGTGCTTTTGAAACACAATTGAAACCCTGCCCTTTTGTATATTTGTACATCCCAAAGGATTGGATTGGAATGCCACAACTGGCATCGTTCCTGTTTTGACCACCCTGGTTGATGCTACTAAGTTGCACCAACCTAACTGTAATCAATGTCAGTGGATCCCCAATCTTCAGTAATAGTGTTAGTTAACATGGTCAATAGGTGTTAGTTGTGGTTCTTGTAGAAATGAATGTTTTGCCTATTTCAGTTGTGTTCAAAATCTTAACCCACAAAATACATTACACTGGAAACAGAACAAATTACAAAAGCTGTATCAGTATTTTTCCGATGGCAGATTTTGACACATGCATTTACACAGATTGTAAAATAAACAGATATGTGAATACCAAATAAGTTCACTTCATAATAAGGACAGCTTATACTATAGCCATAAATAAGAATTTAAAGAATTGTTGCTTGATTTGGAACTCATATGTCCTTGCTAAGCAAGTAGAAACTGATGTATATGGTTACTTGGACTCAGAAAACTAAGCTTGACTCCCATGCCTGAGTCACTTCCCCCCCCCAAAAAAAATTGCAACTGTCCTCTAAATTGTGACCCTAGCTTCATGTCAATAAAAATACTACTACTACTTAAACCAAAAGAGGAAGAAACTTAAGAAAATAAGTTAAAAGGAACTTTATATTATTAAAACCATTAAATAATATCATATTGGATAACCCTATCAAAGTTCATTTATTCGCAACACGTAATCTTGAACAGTAATCAGTCAGAGTGGTTCTTTCCTTTCCTTTCCTTTCCTTTCCTTTCCTTTCCTTTCCTTTCCTCCTTTTCTTTCCTTCCCTTCTCTTTCCTTTCCTTCCCTTCCCTTCTCTTTCCTTTCCTTTCCTTTCCTTTCTTTCCCTACAAAGAATGGCTTTTTTTTAATGAACATCAGAAGCTGGGAAGGCAGTGAATTGTGCACATAAATTTGAGTCTAACTATTTAATTAACCTTCTTTTCAAGATGTCCAACATGTACAGGATTATCACAAAGTAAGCCAGATTTTTCCAAAACAAATCCAAGCACCAGCTCTTCATCTCTAAACTTTTAATTACTTTAATTTTATTACTTAATTACATTAATCCAACTAGAGTAAATATTTCCACATATTGAAATCTGTTCCTACAAGTGGTTTTTCTTGATCTTGTTTAAGGGAGATGAAATGTTTGTCCTCAGTGCAGAAAAAAAACAAGCCCCAGAAATGGAGGAGAAATTCATTCCATCCAAATTCCTAGATAATTTATTCAAATAAACTTCTAAAACTGAAGCACAAATTTCAAAGGAATTCCATGTCTATTATATATTTATGAGGAATTTTGCAATGCAGTTGCCACCTCAGTTGTGCTCAAAAGCCGTCCACTCAGATTGTGCATTGTGTATTGTTTATGTATAATAGACAGTGGCTCCAACTCATCCAGATAATCTCCTTCAACTCAAAAAAAGCCTGTTCTTTCAGAATTACTCTAGTATCCAATATGTGGCAGCTGCCAATATTTTCCAATAAATGGAATCTACGGTCCTTCTTGGCGAACATGTTGACTCAAATATATACAGGTGGTCCTCCACTTATGATCATA